TTTATCTTTACACATGTATTTGTTACCAGAATTTATCTTCAGAGACATAAATGATAAATTAATTTAGGAGGTTATGATTTGGCCTAGACAATATCACTTACAGTCAAAGAATTAAACAACAAATAGGCAACAAAAACGCACCTGTATATTGCCGATGTCCTGGCCCAGACTTCTTCCTGACTTCAGGACCATCAAGTTATCCACTGTTTAATCATGCTCCCAATAGCCACCACATGCTCCTTAATGTAGCAGTGATCTACAAAAACAATTTCAAGAAACAGCATTTTCATTTATATTTAATAGCCCAGCCTTAATTTAACTAGATGTATATGGCTTTACTAGCCTTATAATCTTCATCTTCCCATCTATAATTTCGTCTGCTGTATCAGTTATCAATTGTTGCTTAACAAATTACTCTGAAATACAGCAGCTCAAATCAACAAACATTTAGTAACTGTCTCACCGGATCAGGAATCTTGGCACAACTTTGCTGGGGTCTCAGGCTCAAGGCATCTCACAAGGCTACAATCAAGGCATCAGCTGGGCTGCCATCATCTAAAGGCTTGACTGGGGAAGGATCTGCTTCCACATTCACTCATATGGCTTTTGGCAGGGTTCAGTCCCTCATAGGTTGTTGTCTAGAGGCCTCCCTCAGTGTTTTCACACTTGGATGTCTCCACAGGGAAGCTCACAACAGAGCATCTTGTTCTCATCAAAGCAAGTGCAAAAGAGAGAGAGGGTGAGCAAGATGGAAAACAGAATCTTTTTTGTCTTCCATCTTTGAATCTCAGAAATGACAGCCCATAACTATTTCCACATTCTGCTAGAAGCATGTCACTGGGCCAACTCACACTCAAGAGAAGATTACACAAAGGCATGGGTACCAGGAGATGGGATCATTATTTGGGAGCCATGTGAGAAACTGCTTCCCACATCTACCAACAGAAATGGGCAAGGCTTGCCCAGTGCAGTCTCTACTCTAATTACACTCAAAGACACAAATACAATTATTAAGATACTGGAAAACAAAGTGTAATTTTAATTTAATCTAGATTCCCTTGTACTTCAAATGTATCTGTCTCTCTGATTTCCTGCTAGCCACTCCAACACCCTATTAATGGATTTTGATCAAATTCAGTGCATTACTATGAAGAATCAGAATACAGTATAGCTTAAGTATCTTCTGAGAGAAAAATGTTAATAAAAGGGTTTTAGAGATATAATGATAGCATTAAGTCAGTTTAAGTATAGCTGACAAAGGCTGGTTGTTCTACTGCTTTTATACAGTTTTTTACTTCTTCCCTCTGGTAAATTTTAATTCTTCAATTTTAATGAAAGTAAATAAGTTGTTTAACGGGACAATAGAGGAGAGGTAAGATAAAATGTTTATATCCAACTAAGAATACTTTCCTGGTACTCAAGGAAGAAGTGAAGATTACACGGCAAAAACAAAATCAGAAACTCAGAGTCTTGGCTGGGCACAGTGGCTCATCCCTATAATCCCAGCATTTTGGGAAGCCGAGGCAGGCATATCACTTGAGCTCAGAAGTTAGAGGCCACCCTAGCTAACATGGTAAAATCCTGTCTCTACTAAAAACACACACACACACACAAAATTAGCTAGACATGGTGGCATGTACCTGTAATCCCAGCTACATGGGAGGCTGAGGCAAGAGAATCTCTTGAACATGAGAAGCAGAGGTGCAGTAAGCCAAGAGGGCACCCCTGCACTCCAGCCTGGGTGACACAGTAAGACTCCATCTCAAAAAAAATAAAATAAAGAAATTCAGAGTCTTTTAGGACTCAGCCTTTTCAATGCAGCCCTTCTTCCAGATAATTCTGGGGTTTTTTGTTTCATTTTTTAAGAGAGGGTCTTGCCATGTTGCCCAGGCTGGTCTTGAACTCTGAGCTCCAGAAATCCTCCCACCTCAGCATCCCAAAGTTTTGGGATTACAGGTGTGAGCCACCATGCCAGGCCCTCTTCTAGATAATTCTTAAACCTAGTAAATGTCACATAAATCTTCTGGAATGCTTCCACCAATGCCATCTATGAGTCAGGCTACTCCTAAAAGAAAATATATATGTATACGATTTAGGCAACACACAGTAATATTTATTATACATATATACACACATTCTTTCATACTTGGCCAATTTCTTTATGTATGTAATTTATAAAGCTCTAATGGCTTACTTCCCACTCTAGAAAATGAAGAAAGCTTGAGCAATGCTGACCCTGTTCTGTAAAAGTAATGTATTAGTCAGAGTATGCTAACGCCTATAACAAGTAAACCCAAAACTAATGGCCTAACACAAGAGAAGTTCATTTTTTCCTCACACGGATGATTTTTGTCCTCACTAGACAAGGACAAGGACAGCCAAATCCTGCCACTAGATTATTGTCATTATCATTGCCTTGAGTGAATCTTTCCTGCATGGTGTTTCTGAAGCAGCCAACGAAAAAGAGCTAGAACTTTATCTAATTTACAGGTTGCAAGGCTTTCTCAGGCCAGTATTCTACTAAATATCGTTAATATAACAGTATGGGCTTTTGTTGTAACATATTACCTAGTAGACGGGATGGGGGTGTGGAGGAGACCCATAAACCTCACCTACCTTCAAACATTAGATATAATCTATATCTCTATCAAAAAATAATCTAAAAATTATAAATGCCCAAAAGACTTGTGTCAGTTTTCATGACAATAGTGTACAACTCTATTTCTTTATTTTAAGAGGGGTTCTTGCTCTGTTGCACAGGCTAGAGTGCAGTGGTGTGATCTTGGCTCACTGCAATCTCTGCCTCCCGGGTTCAAGTGATTCTCCTGTCTTGGCCTCCCCAGTAGCTAGGATTATAGGTGTGCACCACCATACCTGGCTAATTTTTATATTTTTAGTAGAGAGGGGGTTTCACCATGTTGGCCAGGCTGGTCTCAAACTCCTGACCTCAACTTATCTGCCCACCTCAGCCCCTTAAAGTGCTGGGATTACAGGCATGAGCCACCGTGCCCAGCTGTATTATTTTTAAAACATGGCATCTTTTCCCAGCCTTCTTTACCCATATGCGGTTTCATATCCATATGCAGTTTCAGTAGTATGGAACAAATCCCCTATTTATTTGGCATTATTGTTTACAGATTCCATAATGATAACTTAAAGGCACTTAAGGGCATTGGTGCTCAGATAATTAGACATTTTAACAACGTTTTACTTTTCGTGACTCCAGAAGATTTTGCATTTGTCTAGACTCTTTTGGGAAAGTTATCATCATAGAAGTAAAAGCCAGTGCAACTTCAAAAGCTTTTTAAAAAATCAGAGTGAAATATTCATCTCTGTTGTCAGCAAATCCAAGAAAGTCACAGATTAGATATACTATCCAGCAGCCTGCTTTGATTTCTCTTTATAATACTGCATATATTTCTTTCTTGAACAGAAATCAAAGTGGTAATGTACCTTTCACTCTAGTTTGGTCATGGATTCAACAGAAACCAAATTTAGAGACTACAGACTGACTTTACATTTTAATAGGCGGTAAAGGAATAATCTGTCATTGCCACTGCATTCTAAAGAAATGGAAATCAGAAACTCAAAACATTTAAACATCAAATTCACGACTGTTTTAGAAAAATCACTCCAAGAAAATCTAACTTTATAGCTTTTCTTTTGGCAGATGATATCATAATGCTATTCACTGGAATGCACTTCATAATTTGTGAAAGATAATTTTTCTATACATTTAACACTTCTACTGCTTTTATTTTCCTGCTGTTGAAGGATTAATAACAAAGTCTGCATAGGCCCACTGGAGATATAATAACCCAAAATCCTCTTAAAAATCTAGAACAGTCACAACATCATAAATTTTTATTGAATAGGAATATATTCTTATGAAGGCTTCTGACAAGCATTTTCACCCTTTGTACCTAAGATTTTATTTGATCCATATGATTTAAGCATATAAAACAAATGAGTAAAAATGACTTCATTTTCTCTGAAGACAGGGTCAACAGTTCAGAATTGCTTTTTTCCTCTTACAATTCTATCATATTCATTTAGTGTCACCATGGAAAAGTTAATTTGAAAAATATGTGACTGTATCTTTCAGTCCAGTTCTCTGTGTTTCAGAAAAGAATGGTGTACACCCCATGGTGCAAGTGAGAGGATGAACTTTCTTGCTATAGCTCCCCTCCTGTCCTCACGTATATCTTGACAGGAATGGCAGGGCAGGGGTTAAATTTTAAAACTCTAAGGTTCTCAATAGTTTTCTTTAAAATAGGTAATTTGGCGGGGTGCCTTGGCTCACAGGATTCTAGCACTTTGGGAGTCCGAGGAGGGTGGATCACCTGAGGTCAGGAACTTGAGACCAACCTGGCCAACATGGAGAAACCCCATCTCTAGTAAAAAGACAAAAATTAGCTGGGCATGGTGGTGGCGGGCTTATAATCCCAGCTGCTCAGGAGGCTGAGGCAGGTGAATCACTTGAACCCAGGAGGCAGAGGTTGCAGTGAGCAGAGATAGCGCCATTGCACTCCAGCCTGGGCAACAAAAGTGAAACTCGTCTCAAAAAATAGAAATAAATAAATAAATTAGGTAATTTTCTCCAAATCTGCATAGAAATTAAGAAGAAAACTCAGATACATCACATCTCTAAAAGATTTTGCTTTATTCCTTCATCTGCCCCCATTAAGCAAGGAAAATTTGAAAGATAGAGAGAGAGAAAATGATACAGGAACTAGAAAAAAATTACTTAGGCAGTTAGTGAGGAAAAGAAAGTCCTTGACAAGGTTTCCCTTTTAATGCAAAGTGGCCCCAAAATGTTTCTAACAAAGAGCAACCTGAAAAATCAAGCTGCAAACATAGAAAGCAAGCTAAAAGCTTGCACAGGTGAATGCTGGCAGCTGTGCCCATAGGAAAAGGCTCCAGGTATATTCAACACGGAGGCTCCATCTTCCCTTTTCTTTGTCAACCACATGTACAGTAAAGAAGCAGGCAACATGGTGTGAGCCAGGTAGAGAACCCATTTATATAATAAAAAATTAGGGTGAGGCGGCCAGCTTCTTCGTGTGCTATGCAAACAGCACACCTGGTCCAATCAATGTTGAGATACATTAAGTTTACCCTGCCCCCATGGCTCCTTCGTGGAGGACACCTTTTAGTTTGTAATTAGTGGTAGGCAGGTAACAGCTGCCTACTTGGTATATTCTAGAGTTATAGGTAATACAGAACACCTGTGTATTAATAAGAATCACCTGTCAA